TACTTTCCACATCCCCTCGGATCGCCTTTCTTTGGGATGGGCACCTACGCCGATCGCTTCTACGTGGTCCAGGGAGAAAGACGAGGCTTTCGACTCCCATGAAGAGTGAGTAGTCTCAGGACCCCGCAGGGGGTCTGCCCTGTCCTACAAGGTCACTCACGGGTCAGAATCTACGCAATGGCAGTGAGTGTCCAGGCAGGCAGCCAGGGCTTCCAAGCTTACGGGCATACCCAGCTCACGCAGGGCTGCATCCCTCGGCGGAAACATCCCCAGAGGTATTCCATCAATCCCTGGAGCCTCGTTCTTCACAAAGGCCTTCAGTGAAGTCTGAACTTCTTCCTTCAATACCATGACTTCTTGATTATATCATAGTGAACGAGGCGGGGAATGTGCAGTGGAGACCCAAAGCCCATCTGTAGCCCACTGGACATCCCCCGACACCCTTCTGTAAGGGGATCTCATGCCATCTTTTCAGAGCCCCTCATTAGAAGCTCGATCAACGGTCTGACCTGGTGAAACCAATCCAAATGCACTATCCCCCCGCACATCAAAAAACAAATGAGCATCGGAGTAGGGGCACCCCCTCATACATCCCTGTGACTCTGAAGTAAAGCTGGAAAACAAAATAAACCTATTATCCAGGTAATGGTGATTTCGCCTGTTCATAAGAATATATTTATGACGCTCACATCATTTGTAAATTGTCGTGAGGGACATCTCAGAAGTTTGCTGACTCCTGATTTAGACAAATCACTACCTACTTCTCTGCCACTTGACATGTTATCAGGAGAGGCCAGACCTTGCAGAAGGACATCATACTTGGCTGAGGAGAACGAGCCCAGAAAAGGCAGGGCTGTGACCTGGTTGCAGCAGTGGGCTTGACCATAACGATTGTGAGGTTGGTGGTGCTTCGTGCTGTGGGGTACAGGGTGGCGACGGGTCAGAAAGGACTAGGTGGAACCTGATGATAACCACCGGTTGAGCAACTAGCTGCTCACTTTTCC